TACACGACAGTATTAATCATGGAATCAATACTCTATGTGAATGCATTGAATATAAAAATATATGAAGAAGCCAGCGGAGATCGGTAAAAAGCTATTTTTCTATTTAAGAAACTCAAAGGCAGTGAGCTCCATTGTTTTGCTTATGCCAAACACTCAACAAACTGGCTCTTTTGGTTAGAAGACATCCCATGGAAGCTAAAAATTTGACAATCAAAAATTGAATTCAATGAAACAATGAGTTTCTTCTATAGTTCATACGAATCCAAAAATATTCGGATCTGTACATCTTTTAAGTTCGTTTAAGACGATGAAATATAAGAAATAACAAGGATTTCAGGTGAAAATATTTGAAAATCATCAATTCATTCAATGTTCCAGGAGAAACTCTAACTGTAATATACGGTATGCGAATCGTAAACGTTTTTTTCTCTAATGTGAGAATTAGCTTTTTAAATGAAGAGGACAGTGATCCAAACTAACCTGAGCAAATGATATGAAGAACAGTTGTTTTGAGCCGTATTCCACCCCAGGGAGTTCATGAGAATCCCAAACCTTCTCTTTTACTTTTTTAACTGTCTTCCTAAGAACCTGATAATAAAACAAGAAAATAGTGATGCATGTTTATTCACTGAAAAGTGAGCAGCCATATATGTATGTTCATCATCAACTTTTTGAATCGATAACCGTTGTTTGAAGCCACATTTCATTTGCATGGAGTGATTCACAAAGCGTAGGTGACTTAAGGGAAAATTGTATGTCTTTGGTTTGGTTAGGATTACCAAAACAAATCGATCTCGAAGTGGTCTTCGACAAACAATTCGAAATCTTTGCCTAGATTTCTAGTTTCACGATAACATTCTGTCAGACCTTTTTCGTTTTCATTTTGATATGGTTGATTTCAAAAGTACAATTTCTTTTTGCAACTTTAAGTTGCAAAAAGCAATCGTACTTTAGCAATTACCAGCAGCATGATGTGAAAAGCACTTTTATTTGACTGATGTACGATAATCAAACTCGAAAATCAGGCCGATTCTAGTTGAACCTGAGTCACAACCTAAACTCGTTTAGTGCGATGGACTGAAATCAGATTACATATACCACTCACTCACACACACTTCTTTAGAGTGTAAATTCAAATGTCATAGGAGATTAGGATAAAATGCATCAATATTAGCTGTTGGTATCATTAACTACATAAACAAAGCTTGATTCAAATTGGCCCACAGTTTGCATAATTCACACTTGTATTCACTATTTATTTCTCTTTCGTATGCAATAATCAATCTAAAAGTAATTGTATAACGAGCAAATGCTTTTGTTAGAGACTGCCGCATTAGGCAATATCCCGGAGTCTTCTCTACTTCGTTTATCAGACTTGCTATCGATTTCCTCGATAAGCTTAGTGATTAGCCTAAGTATCTAAGTTTGACTGCAGACAACAGAAATCTAATACCTTCTTTATATTTGGGAGCAGCGCAGTCTTCTGTATTGATCATTTCGGATCAATCACGGAGATGTATAACGAACTAACCAAGAAAGATCAATCGAATTTTTCACTACATAATTGATTTTTCATTTTCTTACCAAGTTTATGATTAATTGATTATCGTTGCCAAACCCTATCTCTTAGATTTATTAGAGGGTTCAAAAAAATCAAATATTATTTACCAGTAAACCTCATACTTACATTGAAAACAGAGCTCAAAATATTCTTTGCTGAGTCCGCGTTAACTTCTGAAAATAGCATTATGATTTTCTTCGTTGCCTAGTAAAAGAAGTATAATAACAGCAAAGATTGCATTTGTGTAGAGAAAAGTACTGATGAAAGTCAATGATCTGTTCTAAAATGAATGATTGTCAAAAACACCAAGACATAACTTTATGCAACCTGTATTGTTGTTTGCACTTATGATTCCCTGAGAACAAATTTAGAGAGTTATCAAACTCACGCAACCCATACTCGATACATTTATGAACATGCAGACGCAGACATATGTATATTCCTCACAAAAATCCCATGAAATAATCTATAAAATACTCTTTAAACAGATTCGTGTCACATTTGCTTTGGTTGGTAACATCCAACCTCCCAATAAAACATCGAATCATAGTATTTGCTCATAAATGGACCCGTTCTAAAAGGGCTGCCTGAACAAGTTTACCTGGTTTTGTCAATGAGGTATTTGTGAGCAAAAGATACTTCCTAAGCGTAAGTGTACGAATAAACGGACGAATGATTCCAGGCCACGCATGCCTGACGAGGGGTAAAAACTGCGAAATCGGTCGGGTGCTTACAGGGTAGTTTTGCCAAGTAATTTATATAATTTAGAACACATTTATATATATAACCACCCATAAATTCGGTGAAACAGCAAAAATGCTTAAGCCAAAAATAGTGTACAATTTGAATTTTATATCTCCAGCATATTTTCAAACAATATATTGGGATCTTTGTTCGCCATTCAATAATACTGATGTGTTTCATCCCACAAAGCAAAGCAACTGATGCGTAATGAATATATCTATTTTGATCTCATCATTCATGCACATTCATCGACTTTGTTGTCAAGCGAGTTGTATGCATCTCTGTCAGGCACAAGATTCAATTTCCACTGGAGTCAGTGGATTTGCACTGTTCGTGAGATCAAATGAGCTCAAAAGATTCTTGCACATCAAACAAAGCAAATGATTTGCTAAAGCTAATAACTCTTTGTCTAGCATTTTAAAACTTAGAAAGCATCTAATCTTGATAGACTGTCTGAAGAAGGGGTGCTAGGGTGGATAATGTTAATAAATCAATTGCGAAGCTACTCCAGCAACGATTCCCGCGGATGCAGTAAAACATTAAGTCGCATTTGGATGAGGGTATCACATGAGTATCCGATAGTTAAACTGGGAACGCAATACGCTCAGCGTGATGGCTCCCTGGCTTGACCGACAGTTGGATAGACAGAACCTTATTTCTGATAGCATCACATACAATATTTAAATAATTGTAAAGGATATCCGTTTCCATGGTTTATTTGCTTTGTCTGCAAATAACTAAACTTCAGAATCACTGGTCAACTTGTGATGGCGTAAGTACGTGAGATAAACTCTGGCGGGTTCTGGGATCGCATTCGTAACGTCATACGGACTAAGTGTTTAGTGAGACTGGCCATCCGTCACACTTCACCGTAAATCACCTTCCTCAAGCCATCCACTCTACCATGCACCCAGAATGCACTAGAATTCAAATTCCCTGAGTAAACTAGCTCACACAGCGGAGCAGATCCAAATTACTGACTCAACTTGGTCCACAAGTTTTATCAAACGGAGTGGGGTACACTTTCACCATTCTTTATTCTTCATCTATCAGTGACTCAATCGTTACTGATGATAACAGTATTATTTCAGTATTATCTAGCACACCAACTGACCTCCGCCAGGTACACAGTTTCCGATTTTTGTTTGTGATCAGTTACAGCTCAACATTTTCTTTAAAAGAATCTATTTACATCACAGATCTATTTTGGAACGCAGTAACCTAAGGACAAATAAAGTAAGGAAAAGACTGAAGTTGATGTACGAATTGCAGATAAATAAATTAATACGCATGCGCATGTTCACTGAAAACATCTGCAATGCATAGTTGAGTAAACACTATTAACCAAAAAATGCAAACCTAGTAAAATTCCATCAAGTAAATTGTTTTATGGTTCGTCTAATTTTTTTTATTTGGCGTTCTTTCTAAATGGGTCTTCAAGAACAGAGGGATCAAATATTTGATTCGTGGACTATATCCTCGCAAGCACAGCACAAGATCAGTTCTTAACGGTCATGCGAGATGTGGCATGTGAGATTTTCTTTCTACTTCTCCATTTGTGAAATAATAAATCCTTCCCGAGCAGCTGTTTTTTAATCGATATCTGACGAGGATTTTAGTTTGATTTTTTTAACTGAATGAATTGTCACCATATGACAAACATAAGTGATCGAACAAATCTCAAGAGCCAATGGAGTTAGATTATTCTGGAGTAATCTTCAATTTGATTTTGGTTAATGAATCCTTTGTGGAGCATGTTCAACTGTTTTTCTGTCAGTTTTGTGTTTAAAGCAGTTGTTTCGTCAATTGTACGAATCGGTTATTCATACAAGAGGACAAGTTATTATTAAACTTTGGTTGCTGGAGGACAGAGAATTACGGCCTTGGTCAAATTTCCCTTGTTTAACAGGTATTAGAGCAAATTCGAGAAGACGGAACTGTCTAGTTATGTGTTTTGCGTGTTTCCGTTCTTCCAATCAGATGCGGGATGAAAAGTATACTTTTGCCGTAATAGCGATGTGCAGCGAGATGCTCATTTCTAAAGGGTAGTGCTATCACGTCACTTCAACCCGACATAAGTATTCCTCAAACAACACAGATATAAATTCTTAACATAATGTTTCTGTCAACTTAGATTTTTCATCGTTATCAAACTATTCGCAAGGTTCGATGTTCACCACACTTTGGGATGAAGTATGTTTACGTGAATCACCAGTGCACCACCCTAATTGAATAACCAATTTCAATCGGTTTCACTTTTTTATATGATTGCATTACCATCAGCTCAAATCTATTTTAAAATGCTAAAGCTCGATAATCAATGCAAACTGTTTTGTTGAATAAATGGATGGAAAGTAAATCACGGTTAACCTGGTTATTTTAGAGTTGCTGCTTTCTGGTGTACAAAATCTCCACTCCCCACCGGGTGTGATCTGCAACTATTCAATTCCGAAACTCAAGTTTCCGGCACCGTACTCTTATTCAACAGGACCACATTGTCAGATTTACTTCTAACTCCATATAATTAACGGAAACCGAATTTGTTCTAAAAGGGAGAAAATCGTTTTATTTGGGAAGTTCACGACTTCCGCTAGTTAGATAGGCGTGAACAAATCATGTGTTTTCCGTGACAATAACAACCAGAAAAAACACGATATCAAAATCTGCCAACGTTTTATGACGTTTGTAAAAACTCCTATTCCAACAAACATAATGTACCCACCTGGAACGCAGCCTCCAGTCCACCATTGTCTGCGATATTTTCACAGAGGGTAAGCTTGCCATTTACCTAGTCACAAAATGGTAGAAGAGATCATTGCTGAAAATTGTTGTTTCTCATATAGGTGTACAAAGATCATCGTAACTGCTAGTGTATTGTTATTGTGAACATCGGTTATGCATTTGAGTGTTAAAACCCATGCAACCTACTTTTGTGTTTGAGATTTCGTAATGGTCGTACTGTTTCATCATGCATTTGGTTTTCTTTTTGAATGCGTCCCTCGAATCGTTTGTCCACCACTGCCTCAGATTACCCATGGAATCTCGTTTGGACCCTGAATTGAGGAAGTCATGATGTTTGATGTGAACTGGGAACTGTCTGTGATTTTGCCTATCATGAAAGAAAACTCGGTGTACAAGTAAATCGTGCAGTCACTTCCAGTCACTACTTAGAAAGGATATAACAGTTCAATTATTTTCCATGGAGACAGCTGTTGCCACACAAAGGATGTCCCTGGGAAATACAAAACGCGTCCCAGGCTTGCTATCAGCACCCATATTTATGGAACGCACAAACTTCGAACTGATGATGTAATTCCTTGAATAAATAATAAAACATTTCTCAGAAAACACCATGTGAACCGAGTAAAGTGTAAATGCAGTTATCGAACCCCCTGCACTTGAAAACAATGTAAATCGTGTGATGGACGGTAGCATTTCTAGTTTATTTTTTATACAGTAAGCTCTGTTGTTGTTGCTGCCGCAATTCAGCCAAGTGCGGGCATCTCAAGTCTACAACTTTTGATGCTAATGGTTACCAGTATTTTTAAATTTCTGTGCACTTTACGAAACAGTCAGACCACGTTGTATCGTTAGTTATCAAATGCACTCCACAGTATTCTGAGTGGGGGTTGGGCGGGCGGGTAAGTTGGGTTTCAGCAAATGAAACCACTCCAATTTGTAAGAGGTTTGCCTAAGTGGCAAGCCACCACATATGCACAACTACCTACAGTTTAGTTCGTTAGGAAAGTGCATTATGAAACGGCTAATTCGATTCAATACCAACTCGCAATAAACAAATAAAAATGGTTTCAACAAACGGGCTGTGGCGAATGTCTCATCATTACTGCACGCAAAACATAGCTGTAGTGAAAACCTTGATAATCCAACGCATGTGTGATCTCGTGTCCCACGATCACTCCGATCCCCCCATAGTTGACCGCCACGCTATAATTCCCATCATAGAAGGGTCTTTGAAGGATACCAGCTGGAATGATAATCGTATTCCGGGTTTCGTCATACAATGCATTGACAGCCATAGGAGACATGTGCCACCTAAATAGGAAAATAAACGGTCCGATTAGCTTAAACATTATTGTACACAATGTCGCACACAAGCGATTCCCATCCCGCTGCCCGCTGTCAGAATCGGGTGATCCAGCAGCCTAATGTATTGAAATTATATCGGATAAATCACAGATTGACAAAGTTCTTAGTGCGAAGAACAGTGCATACGTAACCTGATAAACCTGTCTCTATCTAAGCTGCTACATAGGGTTTCGCGGCAGGCAAAAATTAGCATTTGATTTAAATAATGAAAAACAAAATACTTCTGACAAATTGAAATACCTTTTTAAAGATGATACAGTCAAGTGTGAATCAATGAATTTGAACGAAAACCACAATGAACACAACAGTGGTATTTTTGTTTAAAATTGCAAAGCCTTGATAACTGGCAACATGAACGCCATAAGAAGCAAGGAAAGCCGGTCTAAATCGAATAAAGTCAATGAAAGATAAACATATTTTAGTGTTACGACCGTAAGATGTGGAAGAATGTCGTGAATAACGATGGGCATATCCGACCGTCTAGCATGCTTGGTCTCCGTGAGAAAAAATTGCATTTTGTAATTTTATGCAGTGAGAAGCAGAATGTTTGCATCTTTTTCACTAGACCATTGGTAAAGGGTCAACTTTTCTGAACCTAGTTGAATGCATTCACACGGGTATAAACACAATGTAATAAACTTTAAAGGGAATAAGAGGTTTCTGTCCCTATTTGGTCAGATAAAGTTATTTTGTTGATTGATTTAAGTATAATAGGCTCTTCTAGAGATTTATTTCGAAACTTTCAAACGTTGCCGCTTCTAGATAAGAATCAATGCTTAATTATTGAATAATTTCATTAGCTAAATGAGAAGGCTCAAGGTCAATACCCAGACCTTTAACTGGGTTAATAATCTACCAGCAGTTACCTCGTCTAAAAGAGCTCTCATGCCTCGATTCGCAAATTACCGGAGCAAACAATCCACAAAGCATGGGAAGCTGCCCAGAGGCAGAAGCTCAGTCCGAGGGTGGGACAATTCAATCGACTGTAAACTGACCCCAAACGTATCCTAAACTCAAAATTACAACCCGATTGTTTGTTGTTTAGACCAACCTGTCAACAGCTTGAGGTGAACTATACCGATTCAATCTTCTACTTCGGCTCAGAGGGCCATATGGTACAATATTCTACAGCACAATTACAGTTTGTATAAATATGAATCTAAACGTTTTGCTCTCTGTATTTCCTTTATTTACCTGCATTAAGTTTATACCATGCACATTCTTGCGTGACCTTAATCCTCCCAGTGGTTCTAACTCGCTTACTTGTCACACCATACAATGTCTGAAGGCAAGCTATGTCGTTTCCACATATAAACACTGAGGAATAAGTTTTTCTCCACCTATCACACCCTGTATTGGACCATTAAACTAAAGGTTAAATCAAAATGATAAACCGGTCACAGCTGTTCCTCCGTAATGCACTTCCCGCTTGCAAACGTTCAAGTTGTGAGCATAATGATATATCGATTCGGAGTTAAATGCGGCCTGTATACTTTTCTTCATTTAGAGGCGGTGAGGAGTCGCAAGTTGATCAAAGTGGTTTGGATATGCAGTGCTGTTCGATACCGAAGCCAAGCTACTGATTTGCACACTAATTCATGCACATAAGGCAACGAGGCGTTAGCCAAGTTGAGTATCCTATTGATGAAAAATGTAACTCATGGCAAGTGTTCTTAAGTGAAAAGAGACCAGTTGCATTCTTCTACTGCTACATAGTCCTCTTGTTAGAGCTTCCCGGAAACATATTCTGCGCTAAGCTAATGATTTTGATTTATACTTAATCAGCTACTTAGAAAATCAATTTACAATCCATTCTCGTCAATCGTATCAGAGAATCAGACTCATGGGATCAGTAATCCAACTCGAATCACGAGAACTTGGACGTATTGGGACTCAGGATTCACCGATTAGCTTGAAGTTAGGTATGCCAAAACGGGCTCCACTCGAGTCAAAATAAATACAAATAAATATCACGTTTCAGAACTTTGTTCATTTCTGGCAATCTAATCATTATTAGTTTGTTGCATTTGTTAGCCTACAGTATTCAACCACCCCGATGGCAAATGTTTGAGCTCACTAGATTAAATCAGTTCAGTTTGTACAACCATTTACCATGTACTATCGTGGGTCGGTTTTGATTGCTGTATTTTGGCTGCCCATTTTGTTGAACATTAGGAGAAAGACAGGAACAGGTTGAAAGCAAGATCAAAGAGAAAATTTAGAATTTCAGTGGATTAATGTTGCAGAGAAATTGACAAGATGCACGAACGCCGCTGTTTACGACACTGAGTTATATCACTCAGAGTCTCTAACCATCGCGTGCGATCATCCCGAGGTCCCCATCCAGGGAGCCTAACGGGAACTAAATGAACCAGACTCCCGGTTAGGGTTTTTATGCCCTCACGCCAGGTCTTAAATTGACCACCCTTGGCATTCCTCCACCTACTACCTGCCTCGGCTAACATATTTCACCGTGACAACCTATCTCATGCCCCAAACAACGTAAAAGTGAAGGTCGACACTTGTTACAGTGGGAGGCCGCGGTTGCCTAAAACTTTGCTTATTACCTCAGCATTTCTCGTCCGGCTGCCCCGCCAGATTCCTGTAATGCTGCGTAGACAGCGGTGTTCAAACACCGACAGTCCAACTTTATCCTGTTTTTGTAATGGCCAAGTTTCTGCGCCGTACAGCAGAATTGGCCGAACTGCCGCAGCACACACTGAACACTCAGCAGACAACCGGATGTCGCGATAGTGCCACAGATGTCTCAAGTTGGCAAATGCCAACTGAGTCTACTGGATACGAGCTGACACTTCATCCGTGATGCGTCCACCGGGTGAGATTTAGCTGCCCAAATAACAAAACTTATCCACTTGCTCTAATAATTCCTCAGTTGGAATGAGTCCGGGTGCTGGACCAACCCCGGTTTTTAAAACTATTTTACTTTTTGAAGGTGCAAAACGCATATCGAATATGGCTACACTGTAATTCATGCTGTTCAGGAAAGATTGCAACTTAATTGGATCTTCACGTAACAGCATCTGTCGTCTGTATACTCTAGATCAGCCAGCCTTCCACCTGGAAGTTAATCGATGCCACTATCCCCGCACGAGGATAGGGCTATTTCCATAATCAAATATATAAAAAAGTTAACCAAAAAAGGAGAGAGATGGCAACCCTGAGGAACTCGGGCGAAAAGTTGTCGTAGGCTTGGACTGGGCTTTGGATATTACTAAAAGGGGATTGTAATATTGAAATACACTTCTCGGGCGCACCTTTCAGAGAAGGACACCGTCAGAGTTTAGAGTTTACAGAGTCGAAGGCCACTTTCTGATCCAGAAAGAAAGAGATCGTGGGTCTACGAAAATAATTCGATGCTCCAGATTATAGCGAAGAGTGAAGATGTGGTCGATAGAAACCCAACCAGGTCTAAATCCAGCCTCGTTCTCAAGCGTGCGCCGTTCATGTGCAGCAGATAATCGATCGAGTAAGATGCCAGCGAGAAGTTTAGAGACAATGTTGAAGAAAATAAATCCTCTTCCGTTTTCACAAAAGGATCTGTCACTTTTCTTGTAAATCGGTACGATGAACAATTCACACCATTCAGTTGGAACCTCTTTGCTCTCCCACATTGCGCCCAGGAGTTTTAACTCCGAAACTAAGGCTCAGCTTCCATCCTTAAAAGCCGATGGGGACAGCCCGTCTGGGCCTGAGGCCTTTTGAGAAAGAAATGTTCAACCCAATGCCCAGTATGCCATTGGATTCCTTAATCATCTCCCTTACACCTATTTTCCTAGGACCTCTATTCCTAATTAAACCGAAAAGTTTGCGACTATTACCAATAGCCAGAGTTTTCTGCATCTCTTTACGCTTTCCTACCCACCACTTCTCTCGGTCATTCCCCAAACTCTTGATGAGCTGGCGTTTGAGGGCTTTGCGGGCTGTGTCATATGTGGCATCATGAGGGAGGGTTTTGCCGACCTTCAGCAGGGCAGCCGAGGTCGACGAGATCCATCGTCTGTGTTTTGAGCATTTTTACGTTGTTGTAATCGATATATGCATAGCTTCTTTGATTCGCTTCCAGTGCCCATTGAATCCTTCGGTTGGTTATTGAAGCGATAGGCGATCGGAGAGTTCTGCTTCGAAGGCCGATTTTTAGCAATTTCCGACGCTATATCGTGGGCTTCCGTTGCCGGTGGCTTACTTTAAGTTCTTTGCCAAGCGTAACGAGAATTTTATTGTAGCAAAGGGTTATCCGTATCCAAAGGTGTGTACCAGTAGGAACAGCAGCCTTGCATCGACCCGCTCTCGCGGTAACTGAAGGCGATGTGGTCCATTTGGGTCGAGCGAGGCGAAGAAGTTGGCGGTTTCCGGGCAAGGCGGTGACTGTTCTTGTGTGAAAAGTTCGTGTTTGATAGGAACCGTCCGTGGTCTGCGCAGAGTTGAAGTAAACCATCTCCGTTGTCTGTCCGGTTAGCTGGGACTGCATGTAGTCCCCCAAGAAGCCTTTATGATTTGTTCAGGGATTTCACTTGAGCATTGGAGTCTCAGGTGAATACTACGATGTCCCTTGATCGGACACTTTGGAGTAATTAGAAAAGTTGTTTGTAGAATTCATCCCTGATTTAAGGTATACTGCAATCGAGCAGAGCATTAACCTACATTAACCGACACTACGAATAAACATCAATGCTTTGTTCTGTAACTGTTGACCCGTGCTGTACCGTTGAGGTGTACAGCGCACCGTCGGCCACTAATTGGAATCCGATTTAGAAGCGAGCCCTCAGGCTTGGAACTTGGCGCAATCCCAACACCAGCAACTCCACGAGCTTCGGGTACCGAAGCGCCTGACACACCGGGTTTTAGGCGTGAGGTCAAGGTTGGGTTAGGAGAACGCAGGGAGATGATTGAATTAGGGTGTTGTAAGCGTGTTTCGGTGACACAGCACACTTCTTAACTGAAGGCTTCAAGAGTTCTAGAAAACATAGTTTGTTGGTCACTCTGATACAATGTGCGGACATTGAACACCGCTAAATGAAAAGGGAAATTTTGGCTTCAAAAATCCTGGAACTTCTTGGTGTTTGGCCCTGTTTGTAAAACGCTATGTGATATTGGATGGGTGGCGTGAACAGGAGCCGTCTGGGAGTATTCCGGATTGCGAGAAAGAACGGAATGCATAGGAAGGAGGCCTTTCCAAACGTGTGCCTAAAACTTTACGGCACTGCCTGCTTCACGGTAGCCCACAGGTACGAAGGGGTTTTTCTTTGGGAATCCTAACCAGAGCCTTCGACTCAAAAGTCGAACCCATTGGCAGTGCAGTGTAAACCCAACACGGGAGCATGAAAAAAGCACCCGTGTTGGAGCATCTAGAGACCCGTCAAGAAAGGCCTTTGAATTTCGATTGATTGTGGTGTGTGCTGGTGCGCTGACTTTCGGTCCGCTTTTCGAGATCGGCCCATAGTCTCATGCTCTCAATGAAAAAGGGAAAGTGGACGGGACAGCAGTTTATTGGCTCGAGTCTGTCAGCTTTGGCGGGAGGTGGCTGTCCAATGAAGTGCACATGCTTCTCCCACCGTCGAGAGGAAGCCCCAGACACCCTGGGCCTACGTCCCTCTAACAGGGTTTTTAATCATTAAACTACCCTTCAAGGTGTTGATTTGCAGGAGTGAACTCTCCAAGGGCGAGTGTGGATAGACGAATAAAGCCAATAGATACCCAAACAGACTGAGCTTTATCTGGTCTCTCTCCATTAACCTTTCAGGCATGATATGATTTACAGCTCTGAAAAGCTAACCTATGTAGCTCGCAGGGTCATGAAAACCCGCAAGCCATCACACCACATCAACGTGCACTCTCGTCCACTAGATTGGTTGAGATCTTTCGGTTCTGAATGATTCTCGGAAACCGGATTGCGATGCGTGCATGCGGGCGTACCGCATCTTGACACCCATCCACTCGAGAATTACCCAGCAAACAGAAAAATAATAGTTTTAGGAGGTATGTTATTTAACGTCTTTCCAGTGTACTGTGACATTAGGTGTGTGGGGACAGGCAGAATGAGCCATAAAATGGAAGGGATCAGCTCAATCTTTGTGCCACAGATAGCGAGTTGGTTCTTTGTATAGTTTTCCCCTCAGAAGAGGAACAAACAGACTGGTAAAACAAACCCAAACCCAAACTGAAACATAACGAATACATCGCAAACTCCGAGGAGCCTCTGAAATACAATCAACTGGAATAGAAGAAGTGTACTATTCACGTCAAATATTCGCGAAAACTAGTCAGTGTTTGAACGCCCAGGAACGCTTCAACTAGGCTATTTATTGATTTAATATAAACCAAACCTAGGTGATTTATCTGAATTCTCGACTGCGAGAACACTTCGCAAACAAACGTGCTTAGTGGTCAAGTCACGTCAAGTCAAGAAAAGCTTTACGCACCCAAAGGGTGAATTTTCAGCAATTCATGATTTTTACAGGAGATAGATAAAATTTATCGCAAACCAAAATACAATATAAGACATTTTACAGTTTAGTAAATGAGAGAAAAATTAGTGCGAGTTTATCCCTGAGGTAGATGCGAATATTCTGACGATTAACCAGTACCCGTGCACGGTACGGAATTACACTGTTGCTATATGTGGAAGTACGCGCAGGAAGGAATAGATATTGAGAGCGAGTTTGGCGATTTGACCGGACTTTTGCGACAGTGCCCTTGATCAGGTGTTATTCTATCTGGTAAGAAATAAAGAATTAATCTAAAACTCCACTGTAGCGGAACAAAAGTTTAACTGATCTGTAAAATAAACTAAAATCTTTTACTTTCAGTCAGTGAATAAAAATCGGGGAGCAGTATAGCCAGTTTGAAAGAATGCAGGCGATCACAAATGTAAAGGAAGATTATGTGGAACGGCCAGTTTCCTGAGCCTGGTGTGCTGTCTCCTTCAAGGATTAGACTGAAAGACATAATCATCATTATCAAGAGTGTAAATCTAGTGTAAACCTTCGTTCACTAGTCTTGAATCATATGAGCATAAGTTGGCCCGATAAATATAATGATAAAAATAATCCCAGAAAAATACGTGAAATGATGCGACAAATGTTGATAAAAAATTACTCACTTGGTTTGGTCTTTCATGATCAGCTGCCGAAATTCATTGATTCTTTCTGACTCTAAACAATTCAATTTGTTCTCAAAGTAAGTCGTCACGTTGAATTCCTTCTGTAGGGGTTGGAATGGAAAGTGGAATTTATCTTCTTTCGTTCAGACATCAAGAGAAGACGAAACGGCTCCTGGGAATTTCAGAGCGAGAAACTTGAAGCACATTCATCTGACCAATCCTTTAGTGCATCGTGTTACTTGATATGAAACCAACTATAGTCATTCGGAGGGTCTCACAAAATCTAAAGTACGCAGAACACACCTGAGCAATATTATTACGGAATCTCTGTATCACATTTACATCCACAGCTGAGATGCGTATAGACCCCTGAATTCGGGCGTGGCTTCCTTTACGGAAACCACACTAGGGTGCACTCCATAAAAGTTGTTGAAAAGAGTATCGCATTTAGGAACTCTTTATTTTACCCCAGAATGTAGAATTGTATGCAGGTAGTTCAGTCTGTAGATTACCAAGACCAAGATATTCTCAAATTGTTGGGGTCTTCAGTTCGTTATATGAACATTCAAAACTAATCCTTCAAGAAGGTTCAAAGACTCATCTCAGTTTTGAATGACTAAGAAAAGATAAAATAAAGTTTCCCATGCAAACACCAATAAACCTTTTTGAGTTACGAGAACGCTGCTTACTCATAACTAAATTAGTCATCGCACTGGAACATAAATGCATCAAATCAATTTCTACCTCCTTAATTTGTACACCGTAAAATACGACCTCTGCGAGTTTAGAAGGTAAAGCACATTTTGACTGCGTTTACTCTTCAAAATCGGAAGTTAGGATAGGAAGCTGACTAATAAAGTAAGCCGACGATAATACCGCATTAAGAACCAATCAGTCCCCTTCTAAAGTCACTGAATATAACATGTCGACCATGTCCTGCTCTAACCTGATAAGGAAGCAATCGAAAAATAAACAAATTAATCAAAAAATTATCCTGATCTTCTGCCTTTATATTAAACCAGGCAAAACGGAGATCAGTGCTTCTGGGAAGGAAGTGGAGTACAGAGACCAACAATCAGTCCATGAGATTTGAGTTTTAATCAAAGTCAAGCTGGTTTCAAATCCGAGAATTATATTTTCAAACTGGAAGACTCCCAAAGTTAAATTCTCACCAAGCAATAATAAAAATTTTTGTTTAATACGGCGATTTCCTTATTCATTGCATCGTTCCCCCGGGGAGTTTTCGAACTACTTTAAAATTATTCGTCGTGGATTGTACATTATCAGTTGCGGCTTTTATGGATAACGAGTGCAAACTGCACTTGTCCTCATGCCAAACGTTTGCTTCTGCAAATCCTTTTAGCTTCCAATACGATCTATTCATTTGTCACTCTCACACCTCAACACATACTGTACATTATTTCTACCCTCTCGTATTGCCTTCTACAAACACTAAACTGTTCTTTGTCTCACTATAATTCTTTTAGTTCAGTAGCGGGTTCCTCAGCAAGTTGTGAAGTTTGTGTTTGCTTAAGTATCACTTCCTTTAATTCGATGAGATAATACGTAGTTTTTCGCGGAACTTTGGATTGTTTTCCACAAAATTTCTATATTTATAAAGGCAGTTTTCTCCGGTTGTATCAGGAAAACCTAAAACCATACTTGTTCACGTATAACCGATTACGGAAGCGACGAAATGGTACGTACTCACCAAGTGTGAGAATGTTTCGTTTTCCTTCGTAATATTCAGTAGGTCCGGTGGATAGCCGATCGATATGTTCATTTTCTCTATCTTTTCATATGAAGTGATGAAATGGTTTCCAACTATAATCATTTGTAACTCACTTTCTGCAACGATTTTACCTTATCTTCATTTTTCATCCAGGCGCTGGAATTCAACATTTTCTTGAACTCAGTTTGTACATTTTCAACTATTTTGTTCACCTACAAATCGTCAATAAAAATGAAATCGATCTAATTGGTTGTAGATTTTGAAGTAAAATATACGATGGTCAGTATCAATGTGATGAAATTTACATCTTATCAGGGATTCCATAATTTAACTGCATTTCACGGTGGTCATTCATATCCTTGAGAAATCACTTGATGAATAAAATCACTAAAAGGTATCTAATAATAGTCATGAATGAAAAACATTATTCAATACAAATAAACGGTAAGCCCAAAACTCTACGGGAGAAATAATGGAGTTTTCAGTAATAAACACTATTTTCAGGATTATGATTCCAAAAGGACCATAAAAGGTTGTGGTAACCAAAGATGTAAAATCGTTTGAGGAGCAGCAACGAACCATGCGTTTGCTATTTTGAAACTGACAAAATGTTCCAAACACAGATTCCTGACAAAAAACAGAAAATATTTATGCTTCTGAAAATGTCTTTCCGAAAAACCGAAAAAATTAGCTCTAAAGATTGTCAAATAATTTCAGCGTTGTTAAATCAATGTATTGTTTCTGTTCGATGATATTTTAGAAGCTGTACTGGCTACTACAGATCATTTGTTTCGGTCATTATTACAGCTGCGTGAGGGTAATCTGCCGGAATTTTCACATATGTAACCACTTCGGTGTTAGTCAGTGTCACTTTGCCGAGGAATTATATTCAAACCCCTTTCAGGTGGCTTAACACTTGATCCTCTTTTAGTTAAAACGTAAGACAGCTTTTGATTGTCCACTTATTCCTTCACTAAACTCAGTGTTACAGTTTTTCTTCTTTCCATTTGAAGGGGTTATATAACCAAAAGTATCACTGTTAGTACTACTAGATGATTGTAGTCACTTCGTCTAATTGTGTTCTTTTTTCTGACTAGAAAATAACATGTCTTGACTTATGCGAAATAGCAAATCACTTCCTTTCTAAACATTCATTTTTTACGGCATCAATGCTACTGCGCTTCATGCTGTATTACGCCTACATTTCACGCTTCCGAACGCTGGTTGGTTCAAAAGATTTGGTTCAGCAATGCTGTACGGATATAGACTGTAAGTGTTTGCAGTTTTACTAAACATACATAGGATACATAGGAGCTGGATTTGAATCCAGACGACTGACACCCCATAAATCAAGCTGTCCCAGTCTAATAACGCTATTTTTGGATAGTCTTGGTGAATTGTTTGTTAGCAATATATTACTCCACCCTTAAACAGGTACGTTAAATTGGAGATACACATCTATGTGCCTTACTCCTACGGATTTGCCTGCATCACCGAAATGCTACCCGTGTATCGTGCAATTTAACTAGTGAATGACTAACACTTATCAATCAATAGCTCCTCCGCTCTTTTCTGGACTGTCGTGTAGTCAGTTATCGCACAGATATCTTATCAACCTAATCGGGTGTTTCAAACGGGACATAAGACGTAAACATTCCTTACGGAATAGGAGTAGTGGATCGGTGCTTTTCCACCATCCTGACAGAGAACTGCGTCAAATCAAACCCCAATGAAAGTTTATTCGCGGATCCGGCTAAACCAGATATTTTGCTTTCAAGTTCTCTCGTGGTCCGACGTTTATACATTTACCTTCTTGTTGAAACAATTGTACTTTTTGGAATAGTTTGTGCGATCAGACTTCGATTTCCATGTCTCTTGTTCTGAAGTCGCAACGCAACCGGACTTCGCTGGGATAATATTCTCGCTGCGAACCATTCCCCGGGAAATTCGCACTACTAGAACTTTAGCTATTCGCACAGAACTCATCTTCTTTACTGAAATTAAATTAAAATAGACCAATGATGACAGGTAACAATAAGTTACCATAAAGCCAGTTTATTTATTTTCTTTTACCTTCCGATAATGATCTACTGGCGTCCGGCATCCTGAGTCACTATTTCAACTCACATCTTTTCGAATTTCTTCGTTGAAACGATCCCGCACAAAGAAACGTGATAGTACACTGTCAAAGTGTTGGTCCACTTCCGTCGCGCAAAATTGCCAACGCAACGGGTCCACGATATCACCTGTGAAGTTGAATGAGCATCCAAATGAAATTATGCAAACATGTTTATTCCTGTTTAACTTTGCCTATTTTGAAGCTTTATCTTGAATCCTTGGGGAATCGAACTCATCCTTCACTTTATTGTCTACGGCTTGTTTCAGCTTGAAGATATCAATTAAAACTTTAGATTGTGAAGTCCTCTCTCATCATGTTTGTTGGTCACTGTTCAAAATTAGAAGCCTTTTCTGAGTAATTGAACTCAACGAAATCCCATTTCATGGGTGGTCAACCAGTTAGAGATACGTTTGACAGCCACTGAGCGTGAACGGTTTTCCCACTTTTTGAGCGGAGCGTGTTCCCGTTGGCCGGGTCAAGTTCAACTCAAACGAAGAACAAGATCGTTAGAGCAATAATGCTGCAAGCGCTTCTTGCATCCACTTTTATGTGCTTATTTTTTATGCAGATTAGTGTAATTAACGGGGTAGTTCAGCAAGATCACTCAGTTTTGGATGATGTAAATGAAAAATTCGGTAAATCATCGCCACACGGAACCTAGACTTGACTCAGTGTAACAGAATAGATTCTTACAGCCGCAGCCCTTGTTATACATGAACGGTCAACATGTATAAGGTCAGATACCTACTCACCAAATGTATTCCTATTGGAAAACTAACTTCTTTCTGAGGAGTTACTAGAGCGAGTAACCATGGAAAGATAAACTTATTGACGAAAATTTCCGTTGAACGGTCATAGAAGCGGCGTACCGAAGGTTTTTCTTCATACTGCGGAAGAGGTCTTCACATTTCATGGAACACTTCATCCGCCTAATCTAAACCTCAAAAGTGCGTCACGTTGCAAGACCAATAAATAGCTTCTCAACTAAATTGTAATCAGTAACTGATAATACGCGGTAGGTCTCGATGTAGTACTACGGATCACCAGCAACACCAAGAAGTGCTAGTACGTCATGACTGTACCAGAGTTTCCTCGGCAATGAATAATTTCTACAATTATCAGCAAAAAGTGTTTGCGCGATGGACGCTGTAGCCGTCTCCGGTGACGTTATCACCGTTTAAGTATCCCCAAACAAATCAGAAAGTACCAATGCTCTACACATGCTATCCCAGCCTACCTTACTTTGACTCTACGTAGACCATGGATTGTTCCTTTTACTTACAAAATTCACACACAATAGACGGCATCTCCTTAGAAGGACACTTCGCACATTTCTCAGCGACGGACTCAAATGGATTGCATTGTCATTAGCTTTCAATCGCCGAGTTTCATTCAAATCCAGCACTCTCCTTCATCCTAGTTTGGCTCTATTCGTCTTCGGTGTACACTGTTCCGTCTAACGTTAGGATACATGCAGATTCCACTTGCCAAGAGCGACCACATAAAAAATATATAATACATATACTCCAAATTTCATGTCAGTAAACGGCAATCTCCACAGTTTGCAATGTAAATTATCTTGATGTCATTTCAACCAAAGACTTACTCATATGGACGCTTTTTAGCACAATGGATCGGCTTTTATTCCAAGATTAAAATGCCCACAGGTCACTCATTCTGTCCTCTGCATAGGTTTGCGTTCAATCCTCATAGCATTTTCGGTTACACTTCAGTTTACCGGGTTGCACCTTAAGTTTTGATACGTTATTTGCCAATCCATGAATACGAAGCCACGCGCCAATGAAATCATGCACACATCCCAATGTTTTACCGTTTATTTTAACAAACATTTCAACTCCTACCAAAGTTTCTCTTTGAACTTGTCGTTTGGCAGCACTCGCTCACTGAGTTCTTCATTATTTAGATGTATCTTTATTTCAGCAACACGGAACAAGCTCACGATTTTACGTGTCTAACCAAGTTATTAAGACCGATTTGTCGTTAAATGTTGGCACAACAAGCCATCCCAAGAGCGAGCTTGAGATAAACTGAAACGAAACTCCTTCGGGATGAATGAAACAGCTACTTGATTGGACTGGACTATAACATTAATTCGATTCAAGTTAAGCAAACAACGTATTAGAGGAAGGCTGCGCTTCACATATAGGTCAATGGCTTAGCTCGTAAGACATTCACCCAACCATACACAGAAATGCTGTCCGAATAGGAATCTTACCAAGTGATATTTGCTTGAATTCATCCAGCTTCCTTTGAACAATGCTTGGCATCTGTGTCACAGTCCTCCATAGGAAGAACCAAACGGCGGAATTGTGCAACGTCCTGTGGGAAAAAATGGGATAGACAACAAGATATGGAAAAATAACGGAAGAAATGTAAATATTATTTTCTATATTCATTAGTTTCCAATTTGAAGTAAAGGGGTCGATGTAAATAAAAAAAACAGAACCAATTCTACCTGCTCTTTTTCAATCTAAAAACGTTGTTCACACAAGTTGAAATATTGCACTGAAGCTCTATCAGTTGCTAGCTTTGTTGACTGAACTGGCTAGAACCAAAGAAAGACATGTTACTAGACATTATCAGTTCATTTATTCCCATGACGCCTTTGGGTAGGACCGTTTTCTAAACAGCCAGTCAAAATCACTGGTATGGCAAAAATACACTATTTTTTCGGGCAATGAATAACTTGTGAATCACACAGAAGGCTTTGGAATTGAATTGCAGAACTTAATGGAGGTGGCTAGATTTTTGACCAAATTCAAGCGTATCACTGGAGAGAATAAAATCTGTTTCGTTTCTCTGAACGAGGCAAGTATAATAGTGAACAGGTCTTACACCTGTACACCTAGCTCAGTTTAACGATGGATTGATCAGAAAGCCTAAGGATCGCCCGCATGATTTCCATTTGTTCTCATTTTATATCCTGTAGTTGTAATTCATCTTGAGAGTAATTGGGGACCATTAGAGTAGACAGTTTGTAAATACGTAGAGAAAAGCGTTATAAAGTACAGAATGCGGCTTTGGTGTTGAGTAAATAGAAAGTGAAGGAAATTGTGGGCGGCACTGGAAAGATGTATGATCCTCACTAGTAGTCGTCATGAGGACAAATCATCGAACTCGACTGTGGTTCATTATTGATCCATCACAAGAAAACTAGAGTATAAGATCCAATTGAAGAGCTATTTCTCCGCCCGGATCTTTCGTTTACATAGATATCTATCATAGTTCCACATATCGTAGTTCGCAAGCTACAAGTTTCACTTATCTCTTTGTTAAATTTCATATTTCAACATGAAATTGAATGTATCCGAACAGACTAGGGTGATCGACTATCGTTACAATAAGTCCTTCCAAAGCTTATGCGATAAGGTGGGATAGCAATAGATAGCAAGATAGATAGATAGCAATGAACATTAGCACTGATAATACAATGATTTTCTGACAAGTAGGCATGATGGATGTCATATAACATTTTTCCCCTGTGCCTTTGTTCGGCGGTGGAAAGCAGTTGTCGAAACTCGTTGGACAATCGCTTCAGCTATTTCCTTTCAGTCCTAAAATTTCTGCAAAATACTGTGCGCAATGGTTTCATACCTGAAGTTTTGATGACACGAATGTGGAGAAGTCAGCAGTGCGATTATCTTAAACACATTGACCCATAGTGATTGATTCATAGCTATTCTCGACAATGATATCAGGAGAACATAATTTTGGAACGCGTTGCACCGGATACACGTTACGGTCACGTTAACAGTCACCAAAATATCACGGATTGACTTCATGCTGACAATAAGTTATTAAGGTCAGCAGGTAAAATAATCGACTCCGTTTTTTTCGGATACACTAGTTGTCTAAGGACACAATACAGTTTGTCCGAAGTATTTACGTGCAAATTCAATAGTGAATGGTCAATACATTCGTCAGAAGATTGACATCAATCCATTGTAAGTGATATCTCGTTCCCTATTTGTAGGTGTAATTTGGATAATTCAACACACGAACCTGTTCGGCTGACGAAAAGTCTGGAGACATAATGATAAATCAGTTGAGCTTGTAAATCGTTACGGTAAAACGATGGGTGATGAAGGAGTCCAAATGTGTGGTTTCTGTTTCTATTTATTTCTGATATTGATCAACTCCTCAGAATGCCACCTGTAAAAACAAGAAATCTCACTTTTTGTTGAAAGTATATCCTTTTTCCTTCACCGCTGAAATAATACATTCTCTAGTCCAAACACTATCTTCTTTTCATCAAATCACATATTATGTATGAATTTGACTCAAGTCAAGTCAAGCCAAGTCAGTAGTAGCTTTAAGCACCCGGATGGGTGTATTTTCAGCAATTACACCATATTTGTGGATTCAAATTTACAAAATCGCACATAGTAAACACAATGTAAGCAGTAGATATTGTGTTTCTCAATGAAGCAAGCAATTGCGCAATTCTGTGGAAATTGTGTCCTTGTCTATAAGTAGACGTGCTAGATATGGCAGAACAGAATTGCGATAAGCACAGGTACGTGCAAATAAAAGTTTAAATCTGGAGCGTGTGGATGATGTAGATACAGCTTTTTAAAATTCATTGTGTAATGGGTGGTTAGTGTCTGAGAGTATGAATGAGAGACCATTTACATGGCCACTCGAACGCTCAAACAGATATCGACATAGATCAAGCACAAATTGCTGAACGATTAAAAGCTAGACAATCAACTAACCCCTTTCNCAGAATATCCGCTTCGCTGATTCTTTGCCGCCTGCTGTAGATTGGCTACCCGGCCGCTTGATTGGAGTCTGCAGTTGGGTGTTTTTCGTCGAATTGGTAACGCCTGCTGTATCAGGCTCTGGCGAGGTATTCATGTACCTACTATCTTGTATGGTTATCATCCTTTGTGATATATGAACCATTATTTTTTTCCACGGGAATAAATGTTCAATGTGCCGAAACTGATCCCCCCATTAGGTAACGCTAAACGTTAGTGGCTAAATTCATTTCAAGTCGCCATTGGTTGTATTAATACGCCGAAAATGTGAATACCTTTGCAGTTCTGGCCTGTAATCCCATTCCACCTGAGATTTATCTATATGTGGCCTATACTTCTATGATAGAAGTATGCCTCGGCTTACGCTCATGGAAGCAAGAGAATCGATTAATCAATAAGGCAGTGCACGAGCGAGCGAGAGAGAGAGAGAGAATAAAAGTGGATACAAGTGTACCTGTAAGCAATTCACTAGTATGATCAGAAATTAGAAAACAAGAACATTTGAAAATTTGTTTAAACACTGGGTTATTTTCAAACATGTCGGATGGAATCTGCTAGTAATGTTATTCCGACAGTTATCGTTGTTTTGTTCTCATAAAAGATGGAATCTGAAAGCAATACAAAGCAGAATTTAAAGACCAAATAATTAACAGTAGACTGATGCAACATGGTTTAGACATCGGAACACCTCTTGTCCATGATTAAAGTATTTTTTGTAATGTGCAGGTTGACGGTAGATGAGACTACGAGTCAAGTGTCAACCGCGTGTTTAAACTATTTTGAACGTAGCAATCAATGTCAGATTAACGTAGTTTTTATAGACCCCAAGGTCTCACCAAGCAACACTGAGTGATCATAACAACGATTCTCGATAAATTACCTCGAAACCACATCACGTTTCCGCCTCATTGACAGGCAATTTACCGTGGCTGTTCATATTACAAGAAACTTACCGAATTCCCTGATCGTCTTTCGTATAATTAGTAAACAGTTCACATCTGGCCAGCAGGAATTTCTTTCCGCTGATTGCAACCGATTGACTGTCCGAAATGACTGTTTGCAACGGTTTGAACAGTTCGTTGAGAAGCGACTTCCACCGAATCTGTACAGAGATTAGGCCGAAAATAGAGAACAAGTGAGCGCAAGCGCTTTACAGTTTCGCACAACTGTCGTCTAAATGATGATAAAATGAGCGATTTTTACTCAATAAGCAGTTTTTTCGGTGGATAGATTCTTTTGAAAATTATTCAACGACCTCCTATCTCAAATATTAGGCTACACCCGGATAACCCTGAACACACTTTTATAGAAATTATACTCCTGGTTCAAAATATTCTATCTCCATCAACGGCAAACAAGCTTTGGTAAATATGCATTCTGTATTAGTCTTGAGAATGATCACTATTGACTGCAATGTATGTAAATTCCCGCCCTTTTAAAATTTTCTCTAGCAACTAGACTGGCCACATAGCCGCTACTAAAACCATTATAAATTCAGCATTACGTCTGATAAGCTTCGAAGTGAAAGTCAAAGCGAGGCTTGAATAATCTTTCACATACAAATTCGATGCATTTGTATACATGTATAACTATAATCTAAATGATACCTGACGTGATGTACGATAACTTGAGTCATAAGCACACTCCCACGTTTGTTTACAAATGCATATCAAAGTTGTAGTAAACGAGGAAGGAATACATTACCATGGTTCTTATAAATAATAGGTACACCATGCCTATCCACACAACTTCCCTCCGCGGGGATTAATAACGAGAAACGAGTAGTTCATAGTATGTGAATGACACTCTCAATAACAATATCCAACTCAGAGGTTCCGGTTTCGATCTTAAGTTGAGTTGAAGGTTTGAACTCCTTGTGAAACTCAACGAGACTGATACAATTATACAGTACTTCGTTGATTTAAAGTTCCCCTTTTTCTTGCTCATTAAGATGTTGAAGTAAACCCTCCATCACTTCCATGCAACCTCCTCTTTCAAAAATACTATAAAATCCTGGCTGATTACCAAAACGAGTTAACTTACCACTGGACATGCGTTTTGCAACTCAGTCAACGTTGTCACTTCGTATTCGTTTTCCGGGTTCTGCTCATCCCGTTCCGCGTTGTGCTTTATTCCGTGAAATCAAAATCACAATTACAAACAAAATGATTGATTAGAAATAAAGAAAATATTCTCATTGATTCCGTGGGAATTTATTTAGGCGTGACTGGTATTTCGCCTTTGTATTCTCTCTGTTGCATAATGAAAACAAAAAAGCTCGGTCCATATCGTAAGCAAATCTGTATTACTTACAAAGCACAAAAGCATCATTGGCTTTAAGTAAAATATGCTTCCAAACATGAGAAGTTACCGAGGGGACCGAGTCCTATCCTATACCATCCATCGGTTGTTCGCAGAAAAATCTGTTATTTGGCCCGCTCAGGTGAGAAAGTAACAGCATACCCTACATATTTGTCTCAACTACCGAGGTATTTTCGTTCCATCTCTTCACATAAATGGAGTTCCCCTATCGGTTTGTCCTTGTCAACGAGACCACACGAGTTAGCGTACGAAAATTATATCCACAAGGTTCAGTGTTGATTGGCACTGTTCTTTGCATCCTTAAGGTGAAACACTCCGTCACGGGACTGGGAAGGCTCCTCTAAACAACTGGCTCCAACTGATAAAATGACAAATAAAATCCTACTTTGCCGCAGAGTAGATATGAACATATTGATCAATAATATTTATTAATTACATTTGTTAGCGTTCCCTAGTGAACATCAGCCAAATTAAAGGTACAAAACATCGAGTGATAGTGACGAATGACCTACACAGACTGACGCGTTAATCGTGCCACTTCGAATGCACACAATTTTTCCGCCTTTCACTGGCTGCAGACTATTGTTCGGTTCACCCTTTTTCCTCAGTGGTTAATCAACCGGGTATTCAAGGAAAGGAACCCAAACTTCTGTGCGAATAATAGCAGGGAAGTTCAAATTATCAAATGGGATAAATATCCTCTAAATGATATATACATACACATATAGAGATCGAGCTTAGAAAGATTAGTGCAACTTAGCACATCTTTCTGACCAGTAGGCTTTAGCAAAAGCGGAGAAAAGCATAGGTTTCGACCTCATATCTTCCCCTCCCCTACTCGTTTGCCGAAACACTGTATGATGGCACTCAGTTTACCCCTCTCGCCGTCCCGCCGCGTTACGTGGTCTATCGGCCCATTTTCTATAGACAATAAGAGCGAGGGAAATGCTTCATTGAAAGATAAGCTGCCTTCGGTTATGGAGCTCAGGAAGAGAGAAAAACGTGCCCCGCTCACTAGAATTTCAACTTATATTTCATTTTCTACTCGCGTAACATTTGACGCATTAGAAAGCTCATAAATCAGCCTTCCGTTCTCAAAGGTATTCATTCACAGTGTGCTGCACTCGAGCCGAACTCGTTTTGGAATGCTACAAAAGTGAGATCCGGTTCTGCAGGTACCAAACATTAGAAAAGTAACAATGATCCACAACCGAAACAAAATTTAAAAATAATGTAGATTTCCCGCATACCATTGAGGAATTATTGCTGTTTGCTGACATTTAATGAAAGTACATGAAATTAAAAGGGAGGAATTCGTCATGCGTAGTGCAAGTGATGCGTGAACTGAAAAGCTAGGAGGCCCTGTACAGCTGTAGTCAGGTTGTAAAGGTTTACAACCCAGCCATAACCCCAAATGTTTTAGTGTGGATAGCATGCCTGCGTTCTGCCTGACAGGTCCCCGGTTTGATCCCCAGTTGGGTCACAGGATCAACAAGGCTGATGAAACACAACCAAGGGGAAACGACCGTATGGTGCCTTGTGTTTTTTCAGTTGACGCTTCATTTGCTCCATAAACGGCAAATACCCTCTTTGAAATTGAATCCAATCATCCGTTAATCTCATTAAATCAAAGGTTCTCAGAAGCGTCGGCTGCCACGTCTTTGAAATTTAAGATGTCTGCGCTTCCCAATTCCCGGAAAAAGAGTCCTCAGAACTATACAGACCATTTTAAATGTCACCAACCTGAGGTTGTTTTAGTCAGATCTCCCAAGTTTTGCTCAGACTCAATATTGAATAGCGATTGCCGTAGTGTTTATATGCACCTATTTCTCTATTGATTTGGAACTGAGTATATTGGTCTTATTCAAGTAAAATTAAACTAAGCCTTATGACACTCTAGAGGTGGATTTCCAACGACTTAACGGTTTGCAGTCGAGTAAACGAATCCAAGGGCATCCACAAGATTCGGCATCATACATCAGATCTGCTGTGGGCGACCTCAACTGGCGGAAATGGGCGTTGTGTTATTTTCCACACTGCTCGTGGCATCGCATTCCATTTTATTTAGACTTAATTTTCTTCCATTGTCTGTAAATTTGGCACACTTTTTTTCAACCTTTGTTTAAAAAATGGTTACTTTACCAAATTACTATCTAACTAAAATAATAAAGAATAAAATAAATCTCTACTAGAAAAAAAATCCTCGTTATGGAAAACATAATTTTTGCGATATAAAGCAAAACAGATAAATAGATTGCTGATTGTTCTTACCCTTGAGGACAGTTAGGTCAAAACCTAACCGAAACTGAAGTAAATTTAAATATCTTGCATAATAAGAGCTCCTTATGTGAAATTCAATACAACAGGGTTCGCAAACTTTCATTTTAGGCTTTTAGGCTTAGGAATCTTGCTGTTCTCCTAAACGTAATTATACAATTTGTGGTAACATGCATCCTCCCTCATTGGCTGTACTGTTGCCCGGTATTTTTTCGCAGTCTAAAAGAAAATGATTTCATGATAATCTCCAGGTCCGTAGCACTCTTATCCCAATGTAGTGTCATAGTCAGAGATGGTCTGGTTGATTGTATTGTGTACAAGCATATCGACGCATGTGAAAAAATAACCGATATAATCTTTAACAACAAAGATCATTAGTTGCACAACAGGCTTCTTAAATCCATGTCAAACCCTCGTACCCACTCCCATTTTAGGCTTCTTTCTGCACGCAACATCACATACAGAAACAGCATCCTCACTTTTCTTACACGCCTTTTAGTGAATCTGGCACCAATGTTTACAGTCATAGTTGAACACATCATGAATTAGTCTGTTTAGACATTTCAGTCTGTCTATTTCGACGTCTTGTTTGCAGTTTGACGTTGTTGTTGTTGTTGTTGTTGTTTACACCCTGAGGTGACCATACTCCCCATCACCATTTATACTGCATTATCGTGAAAAATCACTGAAAATTCACCCTTCGGGTGCATAACGCTTGCTTTGACTTGACTTGACTTGACAGTGTTGAAAGTCTGAACTCGGAGAATGCTTGTTTTTCAATTTCTTGTGTAATGACTTTGGTAGCGCTCATTCGTGGTAAAGAAAACCTGTATACATCGAAATTTGAGTTTCGATCTTCATTTTGGATCACCAGGAACTGAAAGGCAATAAAACTTTTGTCTCTGTAGGCTACTAGCGAGTATTGGACTGGTTTTTTCCCCTTTCCCAGAGAACACTCATCCTGGTCACTGCTTGTCCACAGCCTACCTCGTTAGCGCGCACTAACTAACTCGATTCAACCATGGTCGCCCAATTAGCGTCTCGAAAACGCGCCAATTGGCCTGCAGCGTTTCCCCCGAGGAATCCTGATTTGAGGCAAAATAAAGGCCTACGATAATGCCTCACCTTCAATTTAATGTGCGAGTATTTTACAGACAAACTGCAGCCAAAACCTGACAGAGGGTGTAAGCAGAAACAGATCCTCTACGCAGTGTTTAGCATTTATTCAACTACTCAAAGCTGATTAAACGTAATGGTGATCGATACACTTCAATCAACTACACACCATCGATAACCACGAGGATAACGAACATAACCAATGTGTGATAGCTAACCATTCAGTGATGTTGATCCAACATACGCAAGTGTAACAGATGGTGTTTTCAGAATTAATGTTTTGTCATGAACAAATGAAATCCATGTGCAGTGTTTACTAAATTTAAGGACGACAAAACACCAGGTGCAATAAACTTACACTGGCTATATTTCTTTCAAAGTGATAGATGGTATCCAAAGTTGTCAGATATTCTTGTGATACACCAAGCATTTGGCTGTATTCCTTCATAAACTTCTGGTAAGCAGCAACCAGCTAAAAATAATTTCAAAATTGAATAGCGCTTTTATACATAATTTACATGATAGAATAAGGTTGGTACAAAAAGCTTTCAGAGTTTGACCCGTATCAGCGGATATAGTTTCCCCAAGCGTACTTTTGACGCCACTCAGGATTTATTGGGAGTGAACATGTGACGAGAAGTCACGTACGGATGAGGGCAGTGGTATTTTTGTCTCTAATTAACTTGGTTATGTTTATTATTAATTGTTATCTGGAGACAAATTGTCGCCAAAACTGTATGCTATTCACCAATTTGTTTTTCATGGGTGAATGGTTTATATTTTATCGATTTTAACAATCAAATATACCAATTCGATCTGTTGTTCTCTAAAAGTATATAGTTGTTACAACACGCTTACTTTTTTTCGCCTGCTGCAACACTCTGTTCTACGTGAACTCCACTCGGTTTTTGCGTTCTCTACGTTCCAGCTGCTAGCAGAACATGCGTTGTACAAAGTTTTAGGCTATCTAGTTGTCTTTTTAAAATTCGAATACATGTAAAAGTTTCTCTAAATCTCACAATCAAATACACTGAAAAACAACACATCATTTTCTAAAATAAATACCGATATATTGGTGAAATTTGCATCAATCGGTAACGTATTTAACATTGACTCCAGATACTGCTTTTACGATACGTTGCATCAAAACGGAAAATGGGAACTGCCCTGTCCGCCCATTCCATGATTTTGTTTCTTTCAAGGCATTTACTCGTTGGAGGTTGGGTGCTGCACACAACGTGAAACGGTGCCCCTTTGTTGTGTTGCATAATCACACTTAAGTAATGAACTACGAGATAGACGGAAATTATCAACCAAATCATGGTCCTATATTTTCAACACTTAATATTGTGTCCAATCAGTATAAAAGAATAAGCAATATTTCCCTCACAATTAAGTTAGTAATATTATTTGCCTCCCAAATCTTAAACTCAGTACAAGAGTTTACATCAGGTGTATAAATAGACCTTCTAACGGTTTGCCGACTGTCATCCGGAAAGCGCATGCATTCAATACATTAATACCAAGTAGAGCTATTTAACCAAGGAAAATGTTGGTGGGAGACGCACATAAAGCTTCTTAGAATTTTACGTTTCAGTTCATCCTATATTCAAGGTTCTGGTCCTTTTAAATAGAACAAGGAATAGCGAACAAGCCGGTTTCCAGTGATTCGTAGTCATGCCAAATACATCGCAATACATATCACGCTGTTTATATTTGTAGCAATATTCAACCATAAAAAAAACAAACCAATTGTTTGGGGAAAAGGAAAATAACATCATAGGTTATCTGGGGCTAATTTCGTCTCAGGACCGGACGTGGGATGCTCAATGATCACATAATTGTTAGGTCATCCGTTCGGTTCTTTCTTATATCTTGGCTAATTATTTTTGTTTCAAGCCTAACAACATCGTTGCTAGGGCCTTTTTTAAAATAAATCATATATTTGTAATGAAGCATGAGCATTCAGTCTTACTTTATTATATGGTTCCTTTGAATCTTTCAGATAGTGCTCTTTCTCCAGGCCAAGTGACCCCTCTGTGATCTGCAAAGTAACAGTTGTTAACCAGATGACAGTGGAATGGATCACGTGATTCTCAATAGGTAATGCAATACAGGCCTGGTTTCTCATATGGCTCTAAGTACAACGGCTATTCTGAAACGGCATTCAAACCAAGCTAAACTATTGGAAGCATTTATACTTTATGAAAATGAAATAACCGAAAAGTGCTAAGGCGTTAATTTTTGACTGAATTATTTATATTCTCTAAGTTGTTTGCTGGTTAACCAATAACTTAATTAACGGACACCTCATACACATAAGTCGGGCACTAATAACCTCTCTACATTGACTTTTGTGTTTCCAATTGGAGGTAAGAAATGCCTAAACATTTTATTACAGTAGTATCCAAAATCATGTGACAATAAATTATGTGCTGAACACTCACCAATCTCTGTTATGTTTTCTCTCCCCTGGCCTGTGGTCTAAATACAGCCGTCTTGGCCGTATAGCCAATGTGCTATACTTCCAAAGGGACCAAAAGTATCTAGTTTGTCTTTGTGTCTTTGTTTTAGTGTACCCCNACCCCGTCCATCCGTGAGATAAACAGTATAAGGGGTAAACCCCACAGTCACGAAGATCTAGTTTTATGTCGCCGAAGTAACCTAAACCTCAGGACTGACAAACCGCATAAATTCCCTCTATGTTAGGCGTGGTACTGAGCACAATGGCAGCGGAGCTGCTTACCAACAAAGTGTGTTGCGGTGGCTGGGTTCGTTTCCGTTCTTCACACAAAGCGTACTACAATGTACTATTTTGTCTCCTTTTCTACCTTCCACGTACACATCTTCCTTGCCTTCTTCTTATACCATAGGCCGTCGATGACATATGTGGTTTACCTGACCACATATCACGATGATGTAATAAAAGCTCCAGATTGATTTTCAGACCGGCTCCTAAAACGGAATCGCAGGATATGTTCTGTCACCATTTTTACACCTTTGCCATTTTATAAAGAATGCGAACTGCTAAGTATCAGTTCTCCTTCAAACAGGTAAAAATCTATAGGATTTCATAATTTAATCTGACCCCATAAACTGCAATGGTCTGATCATGGAACAACTATATTCCATAATGTCAGAACGGTTACGGTTTCCATCTTTGAGTCCTTCAAAAATCCCTTTAATCTCATAACGTGATCTGTTTTAGCTTGTGTTTCACCCTACGTACATCACGAATCCCAATTCTATTCATTGTGGACCACCTTGAGCTTAAACCTGGATGGCTTGAGTGCAGTCTGTATAACATTTAATTCAACACTTCAAAGCTTGTGAAGGTTTCTCGTACACGATCCTATCTGACTGCCCTCGTTCTCCATCTGGCGACCCTAAAATTGTCTATCTTCCTGTTCCTTTCACTCCTATGGAAATAACTTTATGAACTGAAGCATTTCAGCTTCCTCTTTGTCCTTATTTAGCTAGGTTTCTTACAAACTCCCTACAAACTCTACTATATTGTTCCTTGGTAAATCTGTTGTCTGTGTGGCTGCTGATTATTCATCCATTTTTGTTGTGCACAAAGTGATGACATGACTTGATTCAAATTTACTAGAACCTCATAGATTAGTCATTCCAGATTATACTTCTAACATTCATATGTTACTTATTAGTAATCAAACTACTTTATCATGAAACAGTCAAAAAAGGTAGCACAAAACTAAACAACGAATTCCTGCTCACCTTGCAGTAGGGAGTGATTTGTAGGTCTCTGACAGATTAGGTTGGGTTATTTTATGCCTACGAAATCTCACTAATAAAAAATTCTCAAATGCTTTCTCTTTTTTTCAGTAAAAAGTATCAACTTTCTGATCTGATTATTTGAATAAAACAATAAAACACAATATGAGTAAAATTGATATTGGCCATCTATTTCTCATGATCACAATCAGCCGTCTTCGCACAATATTTCAGTTGGAATCTTATAGCAAGAATACCATACATGCACATTTGCACAACTATGTTGTTTCAATCGAAAAAAATGTTGCTGAATCATTACTGAAGTCCTTTGGAGTTGAGTGAAGTAATAGGGGATAATGATAACAAAGAGTGAGATAAAGATGCTAGCATAGTAACAGTTACAAAGTGGAAAACGAATAACAGCGAGGGAAATGGTGACGTATTACCAAATGAGACAATAGCTCATCTTGATAAAACCTAAAATTTTCCTAAAATGTATACAGAAAGGAAGGGGAATAGGAAATTAGTCAATCAAGTGGGTCAAAAGTGTTTCGTAATAGGAAAATAGAATGGGGGGAATTTTAAAGATCCTTTCATTTTGACCAATTTTCTTACGCTCAAACACTGAACATGAGATGTTCTTTCTTACTTCACTCAGAGAAGCGAACTTTGATAAAATCATAAGGCATCAACTCCTTAAGTTGTTTATGCAATCTTGTTATAAATCAATAGTGTTACTTTGATCGTCCTCCCTAGTTACCTTTATTGGACTTGCCTACTGAATCGTGCGCTACAGCCCCCCAAAGGCCCACGACAATGGTTGCGCCGAAAATTCGCGTTGAGGCATACTATAAATTTGGCATCTGTTTTATGCCAGTATGTGTGAACGAGAAGAGCGGATAGACCACATACTCATAGGGGCTTGCTATTCAGCTATGGTGACACAAACCATGGTACAATAGACACGGTGCAAAAAGAATAAGCCCACAACTGAGCCAAAATTAAAATTCGGATGCTGTGGCAGGGCTCTGACCTCAGACTTCAGGCCCCGAGGCACGACAGCAACAGTGCTATACACTCCTCGACCATGACTACCAGCACTGTTATCTTTGATCAAACCTTATTTGGTGAGCTACCAGTCGTGACTGAGTCTCAGCATTCGGTAAGTTCTGGATTATATTTTCCCCACATAAAATGATCACAAATCTAATTCACAAACCGCCCACCTAAACGCTGCATTTAGGGTTTGCAGTAATTTTATTTACTCTTGGATTGATGGTTTTATAATTAAGTCAACGATTATACGCCGCTTTTGGAATTCCTCCCTTTTATTCAACGTTCATCGCGTTACGTTATACCAATATACCTACCATTTAAATGTTAGCCCCATTTAATGTAAAGGAATTGTAGAACGTGCATTATTTGGATTGCGCGTAGAACAAAAATATTGCGCAATAGTTCAACATTCTTACATCAATTACAAATTCTGAAGTATTGTATTGATTGTTTCCAACTCCGATCTGACAAATTGGGGTGGTACCAAACAGACGAAACAGGGGCAAGTAGAGGTCACTCAAATTGAATTGGCCCACAATGAGTGCCGCACTTGAACCGTTTGGCAAAAGCGTCCATCCACCGAAAAGTTGTTTCAAACTTTGCTGCATCGGTTCGAAGCCACGAGCTTCAACTGAGGCTTTGTCCAAACAGGAGTTGTAAAACGCCCGAGCCAAATGCAGACCTCGACTTGGCGAGTCTTCCGGTTCGACGTTGTTTTCTGACAAAAGCACGAATTGAATATAATATGGTGTGTTTCAAACTCTGAGAGACAAGTAGTTCCCATCCGACAATTTGAGTGAATGACATTACATAATATGGCTCACGGCAAACTGATGACATTGATTTTAAGCCTCAATTAATTCTCATCCTCACGCAACTTCTGGAATTCCTTCAAAAACCTGTTTATTTGCGGAGCCTCAGTAATCAACGTTTTGCTCTTCTTAAAGTTGGTTTTGACGAAAAGTATGCAAATGTACCGGATAATTGTGCTTAAACTGATTTAGAGATTTATATTTCGAAAATTTGTATTTTACCGCTTGAATTTTCGTAATTGCTTCATGGAGTTTCATGACATTTATGGCTTCCGGAAGCCTAATTTTCTCGTCCATACGGCTTTTGGCGTTTGAATCGGTCAGCTACTGTCCGACAGATCGGGACTAGTGTCCACTTAAATAGATACAATTCACCTTTGAATCACCTCAATAACCTTGATGTATACTTCTTTGTACTGAACGGGAGATAGAAGACAACAGGAAACCGCGTTCGAATCCTGACGAAGTCAAGCAATATGAACAGACACCATGAGTCTAGCTAGCTATTGATGAGCACCCTTGTGCTTATCATCACATTGACCAAGAGGTCCACTTCCTAGTTAATGTGATGTGTAAACAGGGTTGTGATACGCAAGAATAAAGACAGAAATTACCTTCATCGCAAACCTCTTGCTGGAGTTGAGTCATTTTATTTTCCAACGAGATATACTATATTACTGGATATTAATTCCTTGCACAAACGGAGGTTTCTCGTCAGGGAAGACAGCCTGCTAAACCGAGTGGAAATATTGATGCCGTCTCAATCGGATAGCACCTAACCAATGACAGTTTTAGTCAATAATGAGGCAAACTGCGGGCTGCATTCAATTTTGTAGTTCGACCGGGCTGTTGCTCCACAATTCACGAACAATGATTGTCGTTTTATATTGTAAAACAATGTCGCTTTAAGAATAAATAGTTGTTACGGAGTCATTCACTGGTCTACAAGATCCAATCTGGTCCAATCTGGTAGGATAAATTTCATCGAAAATAGCGTTTTATTGATACCATACACCACTGAATAAATATCACGTTTTAAATTACCCAGAACATTTTTGACGAAGTAGAGATTTTCATTGGTCAGTTCTTTTATTACAGACCACTTATTGTAAGCGATCGGGATGGGATGTTTATTGATCCAACCGTTGCAGGCAAAACGATAGAAGTCCTCGCACGGCGAGATACTTGTATCGAGGCTCTCGAGAATTTCCGCAGCCGTGATGACATTCTGAGTATTTTTGTTCCTACGAAACCCTGGAGACAAAAATAGGCACGGTGTTAACGAGGGTGGATTTCAAACAATTTTCTTCAATATTCAAATTATTGAATTCCAAATAAAAGAACTGTTTAATAATTTATTGCAGTTTCATGGCTCTGGATAAACTGAATAAAGCGATTATACTAACTCAAACAAGCCATATGTCATCTTTTTAAGTTTATACTTCTGTAGAAATGCTGGTGTTTTGATCATTGCATCATCTTATTCATTACAATGCAAGCGGAAGGAAATATCTGTTAGTACAAACCAATCGAACCACTTGTTGCAACATGCAGTCAGAATAGTTGTACAAATACTCCTGAAGCATGATCAGCTGAGTAGATCATGCTGTGGGTTGTAATTAGTTGTACACAGTTTATGGCCACATATACCTCAATTGTCAACAGTTTACACTTCAACCAAATGGAAGAAACCGTGCGTTTATAACCTTAGCACGCTGTCCGAGAGAATCTGTGCTTAATTGAGTTAGAATTTGGAACACCCGCTGGAAGAGAAAAATTAGTACACAAATGGGTCTTACAGAAAGTTGCACACTACAAAAGCATCGGTGGGTAAAAGGGGATCAGGTGTTCTTGGTAAGACTGTGATTTAATTTTCTTATTGGTACACTTTCTTTATGTTTGGTTACAACAATATGAAGTCAACAGTGACCTAATGTGACTTAAAATGTTGCATCAGAAAGAATATAATAGTGAGAAGATTCCTTTTTGGTAGCTTTTAATCATTTTCATTCTTCGTAATAGAGATGAGCGAGGTATAGAAATTGATTTGTGTACATGATGTTTGCAATACAGCATGCTGGGATTAGGTCAAATTTTAAAATCAGTGACCCTACTATCCTCGATGCACATAACGATATGCTGTTTATGAAAGCAGAAGCACGTCCACTAATTGCTGTCGCATAAGTAAAGTGGCTTGCGGAAAGCTGTTCCCGTCCCTACTGGACCAAAGCAATCCAGCCTGGTCCTAAATTTAAATGAGCGTGGGAGATCAAACAAAACTAATTTTTAAGGTCGACATAAATAACACAATAAGCTTCAGAACAAAGCTCAATCTCAGCTATACGTGAAACGGTTTGGTCCACGGCCCCGAAGTTAACTTCCTCGTTTATCTTGTGGTATGCAATGCAACGGCATAATCCCTATCCAAGGAATATGACCTTGTTCGTTATTATTTATCTTTAATATCTAGACATAACACAACCCAAAATGCAACACAAAGCCGGTGCTATACAGCTATACGGATGTTGAACATACGCATAGATAAACTTGAATAGGCAACGCACTCAAAGCTATAGATGCTGATTCACCTTTTAGATCTTTATCATTACCAAGAGTATCCAGAAATTAGAGTGAATGGATAGTCATTTAGTAGGGCCATTTGAAGTATCGAATGCCCTTTGTCTTTATGAATAATGTTAAGATTATTGTTCATTTAGTTTGCATCAAACCACTGCTACTAAAACATTGATTAGTAAATATCTCACAATTTACTTATGGATATTGATAACCAAAATAGCAAATTAGCGAGAAGAATGCGTTCGAAATAAAATGCGAATTATTCGTAATCATGCCACTGCATAGCATTATGACTAACGATAGGAATGAGACATTCCACCGATAATGATTGATAACTCGTTCAATCAAAGCACTCAGTGGATGCGGTAAGTCCGTTTCGACTGTTTCACAATATCCGATGTAGATCGCTGTGAACAGTGAAGCACCGCATCCCAACGACGGCGGAAGCCTTAGGCAGTCGGATTTACAACCCCCATCTTGTGTATTTAAATTTATGTAAGCACTTAACCTTTCGTGACCCACTTCAGCCACCCCAACACATGTGCAACGATTTGAACTTTAGACACTGTCATGAATTTAACAGGAACACACAGGCCCAAACGTTTGGAGCCAGATTAGGTTTGAAATTTCTCATTTACTCCTGTTGGTGCTGCCAGTCATTTTTAATCAAATATGACATCAATTGACCAATTGACAATTGACATCAATTTAGGGTTCTCAAATTTGCCAAACCCGATCGCTTCAAGCTGTTCTGTATCGGATCCTCAATTCGGATCCCTGGATTCGTGCCTATAATGAAAACGAGCAAACTCGCGACAACTAACCACTCGATCTCTTTGAGTGTTCAGTTTGGTTTCAGTTACCGCTGTTCTCGCTACCACGATGTGCTTTCGCAGAAATTGTTACATTACACAAATTTCAACCGGATATCAATTGAAGATAGTTATAGTATTTTTAAGTGATAACCATTTTCTGCATCAACAACTATAGAGATTCAATAAAATGATGAGTTGACCGGCGAGGAGCACGGGACAGCTCTTTCCATCTTTATTGAGATTCATCACCAGTGTTCTTGATTTTTACTGCTGCCTAGTGGGACTCGAGCCTTTGGGTTGTGGGCTGAAACCATAACGAAGATCGTCCTTATCGGCACATGAATATTGTACTAACTTGGACGTTAACTTTTACAGTGTATGTGTATCTTGGACACCAATGTTTGCATTTTGTTCTTTGTATGATATTTCATACTTGATCCTAGAAAGTGTTTTACATTATATCGGAAACTGGAATAATTTAAATAACTATCAGAGCTCATTAGCTCAACATTTACTTATACCGGTATTAATTGGCACTATTGTCTTCATGGAGATAATAAGACCCTAAGTAGAAGAGTCAACTGTTGTGTTTCGATGAAGTAGATAAATGAGCATGCGGTGCATTAGGCAGTATGTTAATCGTGGAGGGCACACATGTCGCCGTTCCCCGGGCCGGTGAGCAAGCAGAAGCGGGAAACACAGGCAGGTAGGCAGGCAGGTCAATAAATGGCTCATGCATCACACGACACCCCTAAGCCGTCAAGCCGGTGTTCAAACTGTTATCCGATCAATCGGCCAGGACAGTTCAATACCAATATTTGATCAACTGGAGTCGATCGACATTGAAGTAGACTCAGGCCACATGGTAAGATTGAGTGCGTGTGTGGTAGCTGACACCATGGGTAAGTCAATAAATCGGGCCACAGTCAAGCGCGACCAACGTACCGATCGCTTGTAGGCCACAACATCAACAGTCTTATCAATTGTGATCAAGCGATTGCAAAACATCTAACTAGACGTTGTTTCCGAAACGAACGATTATTACTTCAAACGGTCAATCTTTGTTTAGACTTAATTTACGGTGCATCTCTGTAAAGGATCGGGCATCGGTGATGTCTGTTTCTCTGCTACATGCAGTCGTCGAAAGCACATATTCACAAAGCTCATAAAGGACATTTTATCCAACCTTGAGGATTTACCTACCCCTCTTGATGGCCTCAAAAACAATTTATTGTCTTGAATGTTATTCGAGGTACGAGAAGAAAGCAGATGTACATCACATTTATTGCTCTTCCTTAACTTGCTGTGAACGATTAGAATCAAAATTATGCTTAACTCTTTCTTTGCCCCCATCCAACGGTATTTCGAATGAAATTTTCACAAACAATCTTTGTTTGAACGCATATTGGAAAAATACTAAAATAATTTAGACTGGAAAAAAGTCATCCATGTATGCAACACCGATGGGATCCCAACAACGTCTTAGTGGTTGCAAACAATGCTACTGTGGTGACTGTGGATGAGTCAAACGGAACACAACTGATTTGTGCAAATCAAATCACTTACAAAACCCGTTTACGTTGTACAGAATACATGCCACGATAACCAGATGCAGATGCATTGTGAACCGTTGATGCTTACATTGCACTGTATTTATCGATGCGGGTTGGCCAATCAGAACAGAGCATATCCGATTCTAGGTGCTTATGAGCGGATAGCGTTCTGGATGAGTATTGACAACTTCATTGCTGGCTCATCTTTGTAAATAGATTAATTGATCACCAGCTGTATTAGTTTTGTTTTAATATGTTTGTCTGCTTTCGTTTAAGTGATATAAAATTTCCTATGTGTATGAAATATCAAAGTAATTATTGCGCATTTTTCCCCAGTACCTGATAAATATAACTTTAAGCGATTATGTTTTAGGAATCGAATGAATGCTTTTCAACATAGAGTCGGTTTGGAGTGGATAACTATGATTCAATGGTATATCCTGACACTCAAATGTTTACACACTTGACGTGGAACTTCATAAGCAAATAAACTTCAAGCTGATCGATTTGTTCGCAATTGGTACTGCTGCCCCCCCCCCNTCCTCTTATATTGCTCTCATTTACAGTAGGACGGAAATAAAAACAGTTTCGCCGTCCGAACAGGCGGAAGATAGTACTGTATCAAAAACTCTTAGTTATTTCAATGGATACGAAGGAATGAATGGTGGGTCAGTTCAGCAATCTATATTTCACAAAAGGACGA